CACATAGTTAATAAATTAACCCTACATATTTAATTTCTTTTTTATCCAAATGCTGAATTTGTGTCATAAACGCTTCCGAATGTTTACACTTGTTACATTAAGCAAATGGTATTATACCAAAAGCCACTCTAGAATGTTAGCATTGGCTGCTAGACTTGAAAAAAATTAAAACTTAATTTCTAAAAAATGAAATCATAAACTAAAATTATGGCTTTGACATTCCCTAGTTCTCAAAATTATCTTTCTTTCAACACAAAAATCATGAAAATCCCTCAAGTGTGAAATTCAGAATCGTGAAATAAAAAAACCTTGTCACGTTTTAATGATAATGATATCCATTCATAATATAAGAAAACCAAGTTGTCAGAGCTGTATAGTGTTGCAAAGGATTTAACAGTGTTTATCTAGCTAGGTAGCTAACACTGGGGATGTGCGATGCCTTCAAAGTTTAATATTTGTGTTTGTTGAGTAACGTCAGCTTATGAATATGTCATAAGTGCAAACAGTTGATCATTAAGCATTTTATATTTATTACCGTATCCACTATGTTGGGCAAAATTGAACGAAAAGATAACAAAATGCTGGCCAAAGAAACTATTTTAGAAAGCAGTTTAGGGATTGTATATTACGTTGGGTTATTGATTCTTTATTGTTATTATTTTTTTTTTTTTTTTGCTAAAAACTACAGATATAAGAACATATTTTTATCGGAAATTCAAATCTCCGACCACTGAAATTTAAAAAGAAATACACAAAGTGTACTCAAAATACAATACAATACAATACAATACAATACAATACAATATTCTTTATTGTAAATTCGTCAAGAATTACAATAGTGTCAATACAATAGTGAATTGTACATGTTAATTTTCATAAAATTCCTTTATTGAGTAGAAGGGTCTTGCGATTAGCCACTTCTTCAACTCCTGGTGTAGCTTGTTGCCAGTCAGGTCTCTCAGGTAGTCAGGTAGATGGTTCCTCAGCTTGCAGCCGGTGTAGGAAGGTTTTTTCTCCCAAAGAGTTGTTCGGTGAACTGGTAGTGCAAATTTGGAGCCATGACGGGTGTTGTAGTGGTGCAGGTCTTGGTTTCTTGGGGGGTTTATTTCATTCACATACTTTATGGTTTCAAGTATGTAGAGAGACACCACTGTGAGGATTCCTAGGTTTGCGAATGCTAGTCTGCAAGTCTGTGGTGGGACAAGGTTGGCGAGGGCTCTTATGGCTTTCTTTTGAAGGACAAGAATTCGATTCATATTTTTTGTTGAAGTTCCTCCCCATACTGTCAAGCCATATCTAAGATGCGACTCTACCAGTGCGAAGTAAGCTGTTTTGGCCACGGAGAGTCCGCCTATGTAGTTTATTCTTCTGACGACATATATTCCAGTACTGATTTTTTTGCTTAAGTGGTTGATGTGCTCTTTCCATGTTAGTTTGTTATCAAGGATAACACAGAGAAATTTTGTGTGGTTTTCTATTGTTACATCCTCTAATTGAGGGACTATGTCTTTTTTCTTACTGAAATTCAGAGTTGTAGTTTTTGTGGGGTTTATTGCTAAGTCATTGTTCTTTGAGTAGAGGATAGTTCTATTTAGGATCGATTTTGAATTAAGGTAAAGGTTTTGGGCTGTGTTGTCCTTGATCAAAATGGTTGTGTCATCTGCATACATGATTGCAACAGCATTTTCACTCTCAATTTGTTTGGGGAAGTCATTAGTCAATAAGATGAATAGAATCGGGCCTAATACAGAGCCTTGTGGAACTCCTCTCGTCAGCTTGCTTTTTGAAGATTTGAAACTTTCTGTGACTTCATTTGATGAGTTTTTCAGTTCCACGACTTGTGAACGTCCCGTTAGGTAGCTTTTGAACCATTCTAGCGCAGAATTTCTTATACCGAGTCTTTCGAGTTTCTTGCATATCAGGTCGTGGCCCAGGCAGTCAAAAGCCTTACTGTAATCAAGGAAGATGGCGGAAATGTATTGTTCGTTTTCTATCTGGTCTAGGACGTACTCAATTAGTGCTGTTATGATACACTAATTACACAAACTATAAAATCAATTAGAGTGAAGTTTTTCTGGGTTTCTCCACCACTTTTTTGTTGTTTAATGTATGTTACAGCTGATTGGCAGTTTAAATAAATGATTGCTTATATTTAATATTTTACAGTAAGAGGTTAAACATGGTCCTACAAAAAAGAACCTACTAGCATTATTAAGGTGTTTATTGAGTTGAAATAAACTGTAAAATATTCACAAAGATTCAAACTATTCACTGGCTGAACTGAAACTTTGTAATTGTTTTTTTTTTTTTTTTTAGTATTTACAAAATCATTTTGAAAATCTGTAAATTAGTCTTTTTCATATGCGATTTTAACTTCTTAAAAATAGTAAAAAATTATTTTTGCTCCACCCACTGCAAGCTCCGATATGTCAAGAGCACAACAAGAAACAAATTTGTATTAGAATGTTGAGAGCTTGTACCAGAGGCATGTTCAGGAAGGCATGTTTAGTCGCCATCTTGAATTGACCGGGTAGAACCCTCTTAACCCAGTGGCGGATCTAGAACAGTCACAAGGGGGTGGGGGCGAACCAGGGGGTCTGGGGGGTTCGGGGGTACCCCCGCCCCCAAATAATTTGTGTAAATTAAGTCTCCAAAATGGCAGTTTTATACCATTTCTTTGTCCAAAGTTAGTGTGAAAAAGTATTTTACACAATTTATATGCACTACTGTATCACATGCAGTAGAAAATATATGCATATGTATGCCCAAGGGGGGGGGGTCGCCCCCTACAAGTTTACTCTCCATGTAAAAGTGTTCAAGAATCAAAACCACAAGTACTTTGATATTGAAAAAAATGCAGAGGCCTCATTTCCCTCATCTCAGAAAAATAAGGAAGATACAAAGTGGATCACAATAATAACTTATGAAAGCTCTTGAACATGCCATGAAGAAATATTAGGTTAATTATGTGAAACACTATAACAAAATCTGAGATAATGATTTTTCCAAAGAAATTGGATTACCTCTCATGAAAAAAATTTAACTGATCATCATCACCTTTAGGACTTAAGTTCTGACAGTGACAGTGAATAGAACACCATTGAGTAAGTTTAAGCTACAATCATGGTAGCATATATCATGGTCAATATGTAAATAGTTCAAACCCTATTACAAAAAATGTACCTTGTACACAATCATCCTTGTTGTTTTATGTATTTAGAAATGGAACAAGAGTAATTAGTACTTTTTATATTGCTGAGTATTATTTTTATTTTAGACCTTTACTGACATTTAGCCCTATCTAACTTTAACAAGTCAAGAATATGAAGCCTATATTTAGGGTGCAAAATTAAGGTCTCAATACAGTAGAGGATGGCCCATTTTAAAAATTTTATGTACCTTATAAAAAAATAATGTTTGAAGTACAAAACAAATCTGAAAATTACTTTAGTTAGTTATTGTATTTGTTGGTTAAACGTCTAATGTCTATATGACCAGTGGGCCATACGGAAAGAAATCTTTTTTCAATAGTTGTCAATAGTCAAACAATTATCAACCCATAACTACGAGGGATATTCCAAAAGTAAGGTGTCCGATTTGCTGTAACTAGTTTAAGTGGGCACCAAGGACAAAACACGCATGCGCGCCGGCTCCCGGCATACCTTGCACGTCAAGCGCCGCCATTAGCGTTGTTATTGTTGCTGTGTGCTGTTTATAGTGTTAGTTCACAATGTTTAAGACAATTGATCAGCCCGCTGATTGTAAAGTAGGGGCAGTGATACGGTTTTTGTCTGCAAGAAACGTTTCAGCGGCAGAAATTCACCGGCAGATTACTGAAGTTTACAGTCCTAACATAATGAGTGACAGTCAAGTGCGCAAGTGGGTGCGAGCTTTTAATGAAGGACGGGAAAATGTGCATGATCAATCACGGTCTGGCTGACCATCAGTGATTTCAGAAGATTTGGTCAATGCGGTTGACAAAAAATTCATGAATATCGACAATTCACTATTATTTAGGATCTCCACTTGTTTTCCAATTTTTCCACTACCTAAAGGAGTTTCTTGGCGTCAAGCGCTTCGACACTGATTATGAAGTAAAAGAAGCAGTTTAAATCTTGTTATCTTTGCAGGCAGCCGATTTCTACGACTTATGCATTCAAAAGCTTGTTGAACGATGTGACAAATGTTTAAATAAGTATGGAAATTATGTAGAAAAATAGACAAATATGCAAGGAATGTAAATTAAACAATTGTTTTGAAAACATTTGATTTTTTTAAATTGTTTTTCTTAACTGGACCTTACTTTTGGAATAACCCTCGTATATTCTGTTTTCTTGTGGTTAAAATCTTAATAGGCTAATCCTCTAGTCCCAAAAATGTTTACAGTAGTCAGTGGTCATGCAATGAGATGGTCTTTTCCTCCTATGGTCTTTTTCTTCACTCATAGTCGGGGAATAATAAAATCACTAACTATCTCAATCGATCAAAAAGTACTTTATTGTTTTACTACATGACCAATCCAGCAGTTGTAATTTTAGGTTAGTCAGTTTTCTGTGCGGGGCAATGTGCTCTATATAAGTTTATCAAACACTGGCAAAACCATCTTATGAGCAGTTCATTTAGCTCATCGATAGTTGTTTACCCAGAAACTTGTATATAGGTAAAATAAAAATGTTATGCTACCTCGGCTCAACTGTCCAGCTGTTGATTTAAAGATATGGTAAGGTGGAGGGGATAGAACTGCTTCTCCCTTACAACCTCCAAAATTTTGTGAAAGGAGTTTAGTTTTTGATACAGTGTAGTGTTGTTCTTAAAAGACTGATTACATGAAAGTACAGGACAAGCAGTAATAATTGTGATCTTTCACACTCACTGGCCTATGCCACTGGAAATCCTTCCATTGGCTGTCAGAATGACTTGTCATACTGGGTCTAATTAAAAAGATCATTAACTATCCATACACAATAAGTCATAAAACTGTAATGCTAAGTATATTTTACCTGGCTCGGATCATATTGAGAGAGAAATGATATCAGTCTTTCCAAGTTAAATCTAGTTCTTTCCTCACAAAAAATTATCCATGAAGTGTTGTTTTCATAATTTTTGAATAACCTAAAACAGAGAGAAACAGAAAAAATCAATAGTGTTCGATATTTATATCAACACTTGCTTTGCTTCAATCGCATTTCCTATCTGCCATCGAATTCCTAGACCCCTCTAAACCGCAATTGCATTTTTAAAAAGTGAAGCCGGCGATCGGCGTCTGTCTGTCCACGGTCGGCGTCCATAACTCACGGTTTACTCTGTTTCTCTTCTCTCGAGTCATTAATTGCCCATTTTACCTCTCTTTAACGTGTTTTTAGGCTATAGATTAATTCTATATGGCCTCTCTCTCCTCTATAGTACATTTTTAACAGTATATACATTTAATTCCCCTTTTGTTTGTCATTAAATTACTTAAATTGTGATCTAGTGTTTTCAGACTCTTCCAACCTCAAGACAGTGTGTGCGCGTCAGTGTATTTCTTCTAGACTTTCCGTTACGTTTTCATCGCGACTTCCGTGTATTAGTGAGCTCTTTGTGTTTAAGAACTTGGGTGCGTTGCGTTTTCCAAATTCTACAAAACAGAAGCACTCGGTCTAAGGACTCCGCCATCTGCCATCGCTCCACCATAGACTGTGTGACTTAATTAAACTCTTAACTAATCTCATTTGCCTCTCACAAGACATTCTATTCCATTTCGGGACCTCAAGTGCCCTTCAAATTGCAGATTCGCCATTTTCTCTAATTTATTATTTTCTCTTGAACTAGTATTTAGTTCTGGTCCTTCGAGTTATTAATTATTTAATTTCAATCATTTACGCCCCCAACAAATAGTTTAACTTATTTTGTAGCTTTGAAAATTTTAAATAAACCTATGTAAACCACTGAAAATAGCATTTTACAGGGTGAGTGAAAAGGAGCTTGCAAACCCTCTTACATTTTTTACTATTTCAGATATTTGAAACTGGATCGCGACAACCTTCTTTGATATTATGGGCTACAATAATAATGGTTAGTTTTAAAAAAATTGCCCTTAGGGGTAGTGGGGGTAGGGGTAGCTCAAAATGTTCAAATAGGAAGTGTAGTAGACTTTCATATAATTTTACACAAAATTAAAAAAATTCAATCGGACCACTACTGTTATACCAAAATGGCAACTAAAAATTACTTTTAAACCCCCATTGATAATATGGTAAACAATTATTATTATTTTATCAATGTTCGAAATTTGTATCAAGGCAACATTTTTTTAGTTCAGATCATTGCTAATAACATCCGTGGTGTTTGTAAACATTGCCTGGACAGTAATTGCTGTTATTAGTGGATTTCTGTCAGTTTTAAGACGAATAATTTTAGGGTGCCATTAATTTTGTTATGAGTGGTCAGATTTTTATTATCTTTATGTCAATTTTTGTCCACCAAGACATGTAAATGACATGAATGTTGACTATACTTCCCATTTGAAAACTTTTAGCTACCCCCAACCCCATATCTATTAGAGTATCTTTTTTAAATTAACCATAATTATTTTAGCCCATCATAACTAACTATGAAGGTTGCAGCAAACTGTTTTCAAACATCTCAAATAGTTAAAAAGTTACGAGGGGTTGCAAGTTACCTTACAGCCAGAAATATACAGTAATATTATGAAGAAGAGGAAGTTTCTGTTTGAGTATCTATGTGTTTTTTCAAGGTTATTGCAAATACTATTACTAATGGTATTATATATGAACCTGGCCACGTCAGTCTTTTTACGATAATTCTAGTACTTTGGACTACCCCCCAAACAAATTCTAATTTTAGAGCTGTAGATTTTAAAGTCAGGACCAGGTTACTTTGCTTTCTTTTAAAATTAATTAACATTCTTTTACAGAAACCAATTGCTAATCCAACAAAATTTAGACTTTGGTAGTATTGGAAAACTGAAAATGCCCAATGACTGAGCAGAGTCTAAAAATAGATATTTTATTCATAATGTCAAAAATAGAAAAGCCACAATACAAACATGGTGGTAATTTTTATATTTTTTAATTTTGTGCTATCCACGTAATCAAAAAATTTTTTTTTTTAGTTTAAGTCCCAACCCTCGATCTTCAAATTATTTAAAAATTAAAATTGACATTTGTTAGCTAACGTTAATAGTTAATAACCCAATGGCAACTCTGTCGAACAGACCTCAACTGTGCTGGATATGTAGCGGATTATCAGATGTCTGATGGGCTGGGATTTACTCACCAAGGTATCACAGGGGCGACAGTCCAAGCTCCAGGGTGAGGGAAGTCTTCATGAGTCAGATACACTTTGGGCCCTTTCTACAACCAAAAAACACAGTTACATCGAGTTGTAAAACATCTTATCTCAATGAAATATATTTTATATTCCCAAATATATTATTTGGATGCTAACGTCGCCCAGATTGCAAAAAATGCCATTTCACCATTTAGACAAAATGAATAAAAACAATAACAATCAAATAAAAACAAATACATACTTAATATGGTAGTTACAATCAGTGATTATTTTCTGATTGCAATCTGGGAGACGTCAGCCTATGACGGGAGTATCACAGGTTTTTTTCATTCCACCATGATTCCACATATACCCATTTTATCAACTTCATTTTTATGATTTTCAGTTTAAAATTAACCTAGACATAAAAATTTAACCTATCAGGAAGCAATGTTAATAGAGATACCTTTAGAATATGTTTTATAAAGTCCATCAAATATTAAACGTAAATCACGATTTAGTAGTATTTTTCTGAAAAGTTGACAAAGGAAAATATATGTATATTTAAATGTAGAGCATTTATTAATACAGATTTTAAGAACCATGATTGTTAATTAGATAAATAATAAATTGTGTCAGCAATCTGACACGTTTTTTCCAATTAGATTGTCGACAACTCCTATCATGGACATTGGACAAGCAGTGAGAGTAAATAAAAAATATTTTATGAGGGAAATAAAAAAAGTAGTCAAAAACCTTTGAACTGTAATTTTTACAGCATTAGGGATGTTGCCATTAGGGATGAGAATCTATAGTCAACCATCGATGTTCACCATTCATAGTAATATCGTTGTCAACCATCGATGTACCGATAACATCGTTGCGAAAACATCTATGTTTTTTTTACTAAAACATCGATTTTTTTCAGTTTTTTGTCTGCTTTTTGTACTCTCCAGTAATGGAAAACATCGATATCTCAATACTTGGCCAAAAACATCGGTATTTATTTGGTAAAAAAATCGATGTAACAAAAAACATCGCTAACCTACCATAGATGTAAAAACATCGAACATCAATAGAAAAACATCGACAATCGATGCTCATTGCTCATCCCTAATTGCCATTTTATTTTGTTTAGAGTTAAAAAGACCATTACATACAAAATGTTAATCAAAATCGTCTTAGCTGTTTTTGTAAACATCAGATTTTTTTTCACATTAGTGTTTTTCTGGGAAAATCACCATTAAAAACCTAATTTCCAAAAAGTGTAAAAATCCATGGAGATACCATGGATTTTGTACCCAGTACCATAGAAAACGTACTACTAAAACCCAGACATTAAGTATTTTGAGAGAGCTTTGCCTGTCAATCCGTAGGCAGCGCCACCAGCGTTGCCATGGACTCAGCATAGCAACGCTGGTGGCCCTGCCTACGGATTGACAGGCAAAGTTCTCTCAAAACACTTAATGGTTTTTACCATGCGGTTGGCATTCTGGGTTATAGTAGTACGTTTTCTGTGCCAGTACCCACATACAAAATTTCGTCAAAATCAGACGACAGGTGTAGTCTGTACGTATATCACTTCGAAAACTTCTTTTTTGGGGTCAGGGATGGATATTATTTTCGCCCAAACTCAAACCCAAAATAATACTTCCTCCATATACTATGTGTAGGGGGAGAATGTAAAAATTAAGTCCATCAAAATAAAGAGACTGTACAACTCCTACATAGGGGTTTATTTGCAAGAACGTTATATTTTCAAATTACTTTTTAAAACACTTTAAAATACATTTTTTCTATGCTTTTTGAGCACTAAAAAGAAAAATGTTTTTAACAATAGCCTACAATAATAGTTTCCAGATAAAGTCATTTTGAGTTGTATCCAATAAATGCTGATGTCTCCAAAACAATTTGAAGTACTGTTTTATAAAAGAATATAAAGATTGTAACATAGTAGTGTTTGCCAAAAAACTCAAATGATATAATTGTCACAAAGGAAAATGTGAAATGTCTAAATAGATTTAATTTTGTCAGTAATGATCTGTGGTATTCATAAATTAAAATTACTATTTTAAGAAAGAGTAGGAAAAAAACTAAGTTTAATGATTGTTACAATTCATAATTGTAGGTATCACTTGCAATTTTCATATTTACTGTTTAACAACCTCCAACCTAAACTCACTTGGCCAGAAGCAGATGACTGCTGGATAAGACTGGTCCTCAGATCTCGTGCAAGAGCTGAGTGGTAAACATCAGCTTGGCTCAGCACAACTACAACTAGCTCCTCTGGCCCTGCAACACATGAGACCAGGTCAGTTAAATGGTCCTCAGATCTTGTACAAGAGCTGAGTGGTAAACTTCAGCTTGGCTCAGCACAACTACAACTAGCTCCTCTGGCCCTGCAACACATGAGACCAGGTCAGTTAAATGGTTCTCAGATCTTGTACAAGAGCTGAGTGGTAAACTTCAGCTTGGCTCAGCACAACTACAACTAGCTCCTCTGGCCCTGCAACACATGAGACCAGGTCAGTTAAATGGTCCTCAGATCTTGTACAAGAGCTGAGTGGTAAACTTCAGCTTGGCTCAGCACAACTACAACTAGCTCCTCTGGCCCTGCAACACATGAGACCAGGTCAGTTAAATGGTTCTCAGATCTTGTACAAGAGCTGAGTGGTAAACTTCAGCTTGGCTCAGCACAACTACAACTAGCTCCTCTGGCCCTGCAACACATGCGACCAGGTCAGTTAAATGGTTCTCAGATCTTGTACAAGAGCTGAGTGGTAAACTTCAGCTTGGCTCAGCACAACTACAACTAGCTCCTCTGGCCCTGCAACACATGAGACCAGGTCAGTTAAATGGTTCTCAGATCTTGTACAAGAGCTGAGTGGTAAACATCAGCTTGGCTCAGCACAACTACAACTAGCTCCTCTGGCCCTGCAACACATGAGACCAGGTCAGTTAAATGGTTCTCAGATCTTGTACAAGAGCTGAGTGGTAAACTTCAGCTTGGCTCAGCACAACTACAACTAGCTCCTCTGGCCCTGCAACACATGAGACCAGGTCAGTTAAATGGTCCTCAGATCTTGTACAAGAGCTGAGTGGTAAACATCAGCTTGGCTCAGCACAACTACAACTAGCTCCTCTGGCCCTGCAACACATGAGACCAGGTCAGTTAAATGGTCCTCAGATCTTGTACAAGAGCTGAGTGGTAAACATCAGCTTGGCTCAGCACAACTACAACTAGCTCCTCTGGCCCTGCAACACATGAGACCAGGACAGTTAAATGGTCCTCAGATCTTGTGCAAGAGCTGAGCGGTAATAATCAGCTTGGCTCTGCACAACTACAACTAGCTCCTCTGGCCCTGCAACACATGAGACCAGGTCAGTTAAATGGTCCTCAGATCTTGTGCAAGAGCTGAGTGGTAATAATCAGCTTGGCTCAGCACAACTACAACTAGCTCCTCTGGCCCTGCAACACATGAGACCAGGTCAGTTAAATGGTCCTCAGATCTTGTACAAGAGCTGAGTGGTAAACATCAGCTTGGCTCTGCACAACTACAACTAGCTCCTCTGGCCCTGCAACACATGAGACCAGGTCAGTTAAATGGTCCTCAGATCTTGTGCAAGAGCTGAGTGGTAATAATCAGCTTAGCTCAGCACAACTACAACTAGCTCCTCTGGCCCTGCAACACATGAGACCAGGTCAGTTAAATGGTCCTCAGATCTTGTACAAGAGCTGAGTGGTAAACATCAGCTTGGCTCAGCACAACTACAACTAGCTCCTCTGGCCCTGCAACACATGAGACCAGGTCAGTTAAATGGTCCTCAGATCTTGTACAAGAGCTGAGTGGTAAACATCAGCTTGACTCAGCACAACAACAACTAGCTCCTCTGGCCCTGCAACACATGAGACCAGGTCAGTTAAATGGTCCTCATATCTTGTGCAAGATCTGAGTGGTAATAATCAGCTTGGCTCAGCACAACTACAACTAGCTCCTCTGACCCTGCAACACATGAGACCAGGTCAGTTAAATGGTCCTCAGATCTTGTGCAAGAGCTGAGTGGTAATAATCAGCTTGGCTCAGCACAACTACAACTAGCTCCTCTGACCCTGCAACACATGAGACCAGGTCAGTTAAATGGTCCTCAGGTCTTGTGCAAGAGCTGAGTGGTAATAATCAGCTTGGCTCAGCACAACTACAACTAGCTCCTCTGGCCCTGCAACACATGAGACCAGGTCAGTTAAATGGTCCTAAGATCTTGTGCAAGAGCTGAGTGGTAAACTTCAGCTTGGCTCAGCACAACTACAACTAGCTCCTCTGACCCTGCAACACATGAGACCAGGTCAGTTAAATGGTCCTCAGATCTTGTACAAGAGCTGAGTGGTAATAATCAGCTTGGCTCAGCACAACTACAACTAGCTCCTCTGGCCCTGCAACACATGAGACCAGGTCAGTTAAATGGTCCTCAGATCTTGTGCAAGAGCTGAGTGGTGATAATCAGCTTGGCTCAGCACAACTACAACTAGCTCCTCTGGCCCTGCAACACATGAGACCAGGTCAGTTAAATGGTCCTCAGATCTTGTACAAGAGCTGAGTGGTAATAATCAGCTTGGCTCTGCACAACTACAACTATCTAGTAATTGTTGGGCAATTGTTGATTTTTGTTTATCAGTTTTTGGGTTGGGGTAGTGTTCCTTGAAACGCTGAGTTAAAGTTCTGCCTGTCCATCCAATATAAAAATTAGGGCATTCCATATAATTTATTTTATTTACCCCAGATTTTTGTAATTCATTCTTATCACTTGTATTACGGGGGGGATGGTGCCTCTTTGGTTTTATTTGTTGTTCTCGAGGGTCAGATGGAGTCCGTGTTTTTTCAGCATTTTGTGGAGTCCATTCTGGGCTGTTTGGCTGTATTCAATGCAAATTAATTTCTTTTCTGATTTTTCAGTAACATTCAGATTTTTGTTTTGTGTGTTATTATTAAATTTTGAAACCAGTTTGTCGATCATACTATGCTTATAACCGTTGGAGAGTATTTTTTATTAAAATTAATGTGTTATGGTTTTTATAATTCTAAACCAAATAATGCAATCCCCCATTGCTGTAACAATTACGGTTTAGAATTTATGGCAACTTTTGTGATTTTACCCTATAATATATCATAGTTACTCCCATAGCTTACACATGATAGGGGTTGTTGACAAGCTATTGGGAGAACGTATGTGTCAGATTGATGATACCGTTTATTTATTTTTAGTTTTAGCCTTTAAAAGTAACATACATTTTATATGGGAATATTTAGTTTTTGATTTATTACTCAAATACTAAAAGTAATAAACACTAGGTGTACATTGGAAAGTTGTTAATCTTAACTAGACGCTTAAATTGATATGCTATTTGACATATGTTGCCATTTGATTTTTTGGATTGACAGGGCTACCAACACTACAAAAAAATAATATATAGGTTGACATAAGGAAATTTCGAGATTCGAACCCGTGGTCTCCATTTCTGGAATACCCTGTGCTTGGATCTTGTTCTAAGCATTTTAAAATGGATTCTTTGTAGGTGATTTAGGGGGAATAATTTTAATTCACGTTTCTAAGTGAAAACGTACTCCCGTAAAGTCTATTACGATTTTGTTACTGTACATTATACCATTGATATGTCAAACTATTGACAAGAATGCAACAATAAGCTAAAACCATGGGCCATACCCCTAACCCTAAAGAGAAAAATGCTACTTTAGACCCACAAGGCATGTATTAAAAAGGTTTGTTTTTGCTACAATGTTTTTCACAAACAATACAGTAGTTGCGTTTAAATTTTTGATAAAGGTCTATTAAAGTATTTTGTAAAAATTAAGGAAATTGAAATTCATGCATCTTGAATAGTAAATTTTTAAAACTTTATCTAAAAAAATTTAAAATATTAAAAAATTTACAAAAATCTTCTATGTTATATATATATATTTTTTATTTTTATTATAATGTTTGTAAACCTTAAGTAAAGTTAGTTTTGGTTATTGGTGATGCTTATGCAGTACGCATACTTTTGTCCTAAGTCAGCAAGTAAACTAAGAGTGTTCTAAACAATTTGTATTCATGGCTCGTCCTTATTTCCCTTCTACATGTAAATTTTGTGCTTTAATGCCTTAAACCTAAATAGCTTAATGTTAGCGTTTGTTACCACCTAAAAATATTAGTACTGCATGAAATTAAATTACCTGTGCATAAAATACTTTTTAAGATTTTTTATTTCAATAAAATATTTTTTATTATTTGTATAGCTTCTAATCCTAATTCAAGTCGTCACAACTCTATGGGTAAAAAGGCATTATTTTGAAGTTTCAGTCGAATATTTAAATACCCCTGAAGCAAACCTGCAGACTAAGCGAATTTCAACTTGTCTGATTACATTTTTACTAAAATATTTCTATAAATAAGACATATTTATTCCCAATTTAAATAAACATTAGATTTAACCAGTGCTTAGGTTTGCTGCTACGGGGAAGGTAAAAAGTGTTCAATAGTACCAACAGTATAGAATGAAATAAATAAATTTGCCAAATTTTATCAACATATATCCATAAACAAGTAAACTACAACAGTTTTAATTTTCTCCATAAGAATAACATGGGAAGACCGAAAAATGTTTACTTAATACTTAACTAATAAGACTGATGTGTCAGACTGATAAATTTTGTATTTTTCAAAGTTGAACTATATCATAACTGATATCACCATGTTTTCTAAGGGTAAGAGCTATTTTTAATAAGGTAGGTCTAATTAATTTTTTTTATACTAATATTTTTTATTGATGTTTTTTAATAAAATATTTTAAATATTCTTGACTATTATTATTATTATTATTATATAGTAAAAAAGTGTTTTTTGTTGTAAAATGTTAATACTGTAGTTTAGTAAGAAATGAATGTATTTTATAATTTTGATCATAATATGTTCACGAACAAGCAAACTGCAACAGTTGACTCCATAAGACTAACATGGGAATTTTAAATTACACTTTTTTTTTATTTTCTCCGTGACCGTTAGCCATAAAATAGCGCTTCAATATACTAAATTATTTCTTTTTTTAAGCTCTACAAAATGGTTGAGAAAGAAATTGCAAAAATTTTTATTTTTAGGGTTAAAAATGGGAAAAACCCATTCTTACCCCATAAAACCCCCCATAAACCCCTGTTCCCATGGTCTGATTATGCTGGTTCGCGAACTCGTTCGAATAAACGTAGGTTTACATTTAATCAAAATCGGATCATATTTGCTCG